GTTCAGCTACAGAAGGGAGAACACATTACACAGTAAAGCACCAAGAGCCTATTTTGTAACTTACAGAGACCAATTAAACCAAGCCAGCAGTAAAACTGGTTCAGTCTACATTGTGTCTGTCTACACCATAAGCTTGTTAATGAGAAGCACAATGAACTCAGCTACACTGATGAGGATGGTTCTCCTTCAAAGACCTCATTTCTACTTCCTCCCATGCCGAGATTCCCTGGAGCCATAGCGGCCTGCAGACAGGCAGTTACAGGGAGCCGCAGCAGGGATTTGATCAATATGAATGACTTTTAGGCTAACAGCAGTAAGATTCTCCTAAAAACATCTGAATGTGTGAGCATCTGCATTATGTGGCGCATACACATAACATACAAATGAAATTTTAGTTTGAAAAATCAACTTTCCTCCTGCTTTCACATTTAAACAGGATATATCTCTGATGCAAGAATAAATTAGAAATTACATTAAATCAATTTAATGTACTAACAACGTCAATATTAAAAAACCTCCTTCCTCTACAAAGGAATGATTTTTTTTTTTTTTTAACTGTCAGGGTAAATATTTCACCTGCACTTTTTCAATACAACATCGCTTTTCAATGTTATTCTTTAGATCCACTCAACTATGATATGAACCGTTCCATCAAAAGACATGCTAAAATTGTTTGGCTTAAACTAAAATAACAGCAAAACACAACAGAAACAGAGGTTTAGACATTACTGCTTCATTTAGACCAGTGGAACACGCAGCCAATCAGCAGCTGATTAGAAAGGAAAGTGGAAATTGCGTTTGGAAAAAGTGGAGGTTACATTTGAGAACTAGACATTCATATATTTAAAACAATTATTCTTTTTGAATAGAAAACAAAAAATAAACAAAAAGTAAAATAATAATAATTAAAACAAAAACCACAAAAACAAAAATAGCACTGTCTTGTACAAACAGTGGTGCATTAAGGGCTGTCTGTAGCCAATGTAGCCAGTGTTGCTATGCTAGCAGTTTTCTAGTCAGTTTATAATGTGTCTTTTAGATATAATAAAATGTTCAGAGCTAAACAAATGCAGTATTAAGTATTTCATGTATAAAGGAAGAAACATAAATCTTTCAGTGAAACTCTCCCAATAGGACTAGTCTGAAAGAACTTTTCCAAAAACAGGTGGTGGAAGAGGGAAGTCATTGTACAGTGAATATATATTTGTTTTAATTAATCACAGTGAGTTAATAGTCATTAAATGTTTAACACTAAAAACAACAGTCTGCTTCACTGGGAGTGTGTGAGTGTAGTTTGATCAATAAACAACTTCACAACTGCCATGAAATTATATTTTTGTATTGTAAATTTTGCTAAACTCTGATGTACAGAAATATGTGACATCACCTTTCTCTAAATGGGCCTTTCTCACTTCAACCCAGCAAGAACATTAAGGACAAAACAGAAAAAGAAATATCTTATGTGAAAGAACCAAAACACTGACAGGAAAAAAAACTGCGTTCTTCAAGGTCAGGGGTCGGCAACCCGCGGCTCCGGAGCCGCATGTGGCTCTTCAGCCTCCTTGTTGTGGCTCCCTTCAGGGAGATGTGCTGAAACGCTTCGCTGCTTGTCTGGAACATGTGAAAACCTTCTTGGAAAGCAAAGGCCTCAGCTATCCCGAACTGGAAGACCTTGATTGGCTGGAAAAGTTTTATTTCATGATGGATATGACAAGTCACCTAAGTGCGCTGAATAAAAATCTCCAGGGAAAGGGAAGCACGGCCCCGCAGTTGCTGGAGGATGTTCTGGCATTTGAGCGCAAGACGACAGCGTTCGCCAGACCAGTGTTTGTCAGAGATGTACAAAGAGGTAGCTCTCTCACTTCCCCTCCCTGAGAGAGTTCAAAGAAAAGAACAATCAAATAAATTGTGATTATTTACACCTTGCAATTGTGGCAATGCAAGCTGCATTTGGAGAAAGATTCAGCGAGTTCAGAAAGGAAAAAGACACTCTGTCCTTCCCTGTCACACCGCTGAACATATCCACATTCACAGAGATAAGACAGCCCGATCTTGAAATTGACCTGGCTGACATAGCGGATAAAGACTTATGGGTACTGAAGTTCAAAAGCCTGACAGCGGATCTCAAAGAAGTCGCCCGTCAGAAGGCCAAACTCGCTAAACAGCACAAATGGAATGATATTGAAAACCTCCCCAAATCTGACAAACTTGTTTTTGAAACATGGAGTGCCATTCCCGACACGTATTATGAACATGAAAAAGTATGCATTTGGAGTCCTGTCCATCTTTGGCTCAACATGAACCCAACAGTCGTTTTTAAACCCCTCAAAATACAACAATAACAAGAGCAGTAAAACAGAATAACTCAGGATTATACCACACTGTTACGCTTAACTATTTACACCTTCACATGATGTGTGCCGCTGCCACTAACCCTCCCACTGGTTGGCATCAGTCATCACAATATTAAAGTGGTCTACGTTTTATCTTAATTTTACACAAATACGGGAAGGACTCAAAAAGGCCTACATAGTTCAGTGTTTAATTTATTTTAAAGTAGGCCTATGCATGCACATTGCACTTCGGTTTGTTGTATTCTGTTGTAACAGGTACAATTAAAAAAAGATTAAAATATTTTAAAAGTTTATAAACTGTGTTATGTTTTGCGGCTCCAGACTATTTTTCTTTAGTGGAAGAGGGGGCAAAATGGCTCTTTTGATAGTAAAGGTTGCCGACCCCTGTTCTAGGACCTCGTCAGTAATAGTATGAAGGTGACTGAGAAAATAGTTTTCTTTAAACCATGACATGAGAAAACAGCCCACTGCTGTGGCAACCAACCCTTCCTGTTTTAACCTCCAAAGCCCAGCTTCTGTGGTAGGTGGTGCTTGGTGAGTAGGTCACTCAGACTTACCTTGTGGCTTAGTGATAGATGCTTGCCATACTTGTAGGCCAGCATTTGCATCTCCTTATTGTGTTTGGCGAGCTCCATCGCAGCCTGGCAGCTCTTGGCTAACAGTGCCCCATGGGACAGGAACATCTGCTCCTCCCATGATGCCACATCAATGCCATTGGTGCGTCTGTTCTCCTACGGAGCAAACACAGACCGAGACACCGCAGGCGTGAGCTCTAACTGCTTCTACTGTATAACTTCACACAACTCCTCAGTCAAAACAACCCCTCCTTTCTCTGTAATTTTATTTTTCTGTATGTAATTGGATGTGCACCAGAGTGTAAGAGCACATGTTAGTATTTCCCACAAGTCCCAAAAATAAATTCCAAATTATTTGGAGCAGAGGGAAGCTGGGAAAGGGATGTAGCCCCAGAGCAGGAGAAACATTCTGGTAGTTTGACAAATGTTTCAAATATGTTCTTTTATGTCCACAAAGAAGCCCAACAGAAAACATTCAACACCACAGATATAAGTTAAATAAACCATCTATCCCTACACTACCACTGGACAAATGAAGGTATTGTTGGAATTAGATAAAACTGACACTTTGCTTCCGTTCCTGTGGTCAATTTGAATTCATAAAGACATATTTAGCAATTGTCTGTTTGTTCTAATTACTAGTCAGCTAGTCTTACAAAGCAGTGATGGATCCTATACAGCAACTTTTAAAGGTCTCCTGTATTATGTCCAAGTAGATCTATGAAAGGAGAAGAGATGATTTACCTCAGTATTACTCAAGTTCTCATAGTAGATTCCTTGAACTAAATCCCCAATGGCACTTGAAATCAGTTCAACAACCTGTCAATCACAGAAAAAGAAAAAACATCAAGCAGAAGGGATAACATTTTAGCATAATCAAGACCTCAAACTTTCCACACATCATCCTATCTGTTTAACTGAGGAAAAAAGACAAAGCTAAATAATACATTATTACTTCTGCCAAGGAGGCTGTGTTTTTACTAGCATTTGTCTGTTTGTTCACAGCGTAACTCAAAATGTAATGGATGGATTTTGATGAAACTTTTTTTGGAGAGGCAGGGTACGGTCCATAAAACAATCCATTAGATTTTGGCAGATTGGGGGACTTGAGTCACTGACTTGACTCGAATCAGACTTAAGTTACAAATTTAAGGACTAGAGACTCAAGACTCAGCTTGACTTTGACTTGGTATTTATGACTTGAGACTTGACTTAGACTTGAGACAGATTACTTGAAATTAATTCACTTTTTTAAAATTAAATATCTGCATTTTTGTACATACTGAGAAGTTCTTTCATTTCTGAAACACAATTGGGTGATTTCTAGTGCAATGGGCTCAAACCTGGCAACCTAACAGAACACAACTGACCAGCAGAGGGCAACGCAGGTTCCAGCTGTCATGGAGGGGCCTAGTCCAAACATAACATTTGGATTCAAGGATTATGTTGTCAATGACAGCAGTAAGAAGAAAACTGTGGTATTTTTTTCATGGCCAAGTTATTACTTATGAGGGTCAAACTATCATGGGAATACTGCTTTTAGGTGGAATGGCATTATAGGGAAACTGAGCTGCCTTGGTGGAGGTTTGCACTCAGAGTGCTCTCTAGCTGACAAGTTAAATCTCAGAAAAGCCACATGCCTTGTTGCTATGAAGTCAGACAAGCAGGTAGCTCTGCCAGGTGAATACAGATCATATATTGAGGCAGGTGTTTCAGGTTTGATCTACACAGCAGTCAACATGTCCATCAGCAGCTGCATGTCCTGAAGTGTCCTCTGTGCTGAGGCACTGAACTGCTAACCTGCGCCCTAATTACAGATCACTCTGGCTAACACTATCTGATTGAACCTCCAAGAATGTAGATGTAAATGAGATCAATCAAAACTGACATGCTACTCAGTTCATCCATGACATTTGTAATTAAAACACACACACAATTTCCCATAATTAAAGCACAAGCAAACAACGTTGGTGTCTGAACAGCTTGGTTTGGTGAATAAATCTGAGGTGAGATGAGGGTTTCAACCCAGGTGAACTGCTGCAAACTCAGTTGCTTATTATCAGGCCACAGGAGAGCTCCTGTTGATTTCATGATGCAGATCCAGGCTTGACTTTAGTCATTATAATTTGTATTTATAGAGAAGTCTAGTTGAGAAAGCCGGATCAGGTGTCTGTCCGGTCTGAAAGACAGATGGTGAAATGAAATAAGGTGTCCAGAGAGCAGAGGGATTAATATGCTTCTGCACTGGTGAACTGACTTCAGGGTCCTCTTTGTTCACCTTTTCTTCCAAAAATTATTTCAAGAATTATTCCCCTTTGGACTTTTGGATGTGGAAAATTGGTGTATTAATCTGTTGATATTTAAAGTATTTATATGGTTGGACGAAAAATGTTATAAAGTGCATTGTGCAGGCTTGTGTTTAAAACTACAGTTGAAAAGACAAAAAACGGAGAAAAATGTGTGCACATTCAAACCAACTAGGACACAGGTGCAGGATAACAAACCCAAATAAGATGAAAAACCAAAGTGAAAAAGATTATATCAGTACTCATCAGGTCAAAAACAAACCCATTCATTATAACGATATACAGTATCGCAAATTCCCAACAATCAACTACAATATTCTTTTTATATTATTATTTTGTATAATGATTTTGAAATTGATGATGTAGTTGATCGATTGTTGAGAATTTTGGATATATGGTTATAATGAATGGGTTTGTTTTTGACCTGATGAGTACTGATATCACCTGGTACTGTGTGATTCCCTGATTAGGGTGCGACTGTGCTTCTCTATTTACACTGTCTCCCTGTTTTTTTAATCACTTGCCGGAGAAAGACCATGTTGGTCAAAATGCAGCTGCCCATCTTTGCTCTTTTTTTAATAAACAGTGTATGGACATCTTTTTCATCTTTGTCGTTTTAAAACTGCAGTTGCCCAGTTCCTCTTACAGGGGGCATGCATGACTACATTTTGGTTTACAGAAAGACATCCAGCCCCTTATCAACAAACCGATGAGAGGCTGGATCTTTTCAAAGCATTATTTAAAGGCTGGTTTTAATGAATGAGTACAAATCTGAAGTTGATCCATCTGTCCTTCATTCACAGTCACAGAACAATGTGGACAGGAGAGTCGAGGCCGTGCTTGTACAGTTCAGATGAATGAGGTTAAATTTAGAGCTCCTTCAGCTCATCCCAGACATCCTCAGTTCATCAGAAAAGTCTGGTGACGCCGACTGCTCCGTCAGCCTTACAAGTGCCCTTTGGGTAACTGAATCCACCAGGGGACAATATTGAGGAAATCTGAGCTTCGCCCAGAGACCTGGAAGGACAATGTACCTACAGTATTACCAGATGTGGTGTCTCTGCCTGGCTTGCTTTGGGAAGTGGGGGCCAGTGGGGGTCTTTTTTTGGAAAGTATCAAATAAGCTCTCCCCCTGCCTCCCACTTTCTCCATTCCCAAATCCAGCCAGATCGTGTTTTGCCGACAGGTCTGCGAGGGGGGAGAAACTGGAGCTGCATGGCGAGATTACTTTACAGTTTATACAAGTTGCGGCACAGGTTTCTTCTCAAGGCCACGACACATAATCCCCATCACTCTGACTCGCTTAAAAAAGGGGTGGTTTATGAGGAAAAACTTCAAAAGCTGCAAGAACTAATCATCTGTCATCCTGTGAATTAAAAACAGTAGTGTAGTACGTACAGTGACTACACACAGATTGCGAGAAAAGAAAAGAGAGACACAGTCAGTTTGTAATATCAAAGTTGAACTGTACTCAGTTTTACACACTTTGAAGCTGGTACAGGGCTATAAATATCAGGCAATTAGCAGACTTTAATAAAAAAAAGGAAATGTTTTACAGCCTTTATTGCATTTGCCAGGGGCTAATCCTACATTTATAACTGCAACAACATATTTATATGCCTTTTTTTAATTTCCAAAAAGTTGAACCAGTCTGGATGCAGTTTTTAAAGGAGCATTCCACCAATTGTGCACATTGGCCACTTTCAGACGCGCTCCTTTCTGTAAATCTGACAGCATCTGAACATGGCTTCATGAGCACCCCGGTCACTCCTCCGACAGCAAAAGCAATCTCAATAGGTCAGGCCTAGTAACATTTACCTATCACTTTCAACACAGCGCAAGTCGGAACCGCATTAACGAACAGGCACACACAAGATTACAATGATTATGCATGTATGATAAATTTCACACTCGTGCTGTGGCTCTCTCTTCACAGTAGTGAGTATGTCTGAATGAAGCCCTGAGGAACATTAATGGAAATGTGACCTACTGTATGTCTGAAGGACAGAAAGTCATCACTTGAACAACAGTTCAGTAAAGCCAGCAATGTTATGCATGTCATATCTGAAAAGGGCTATAAAGTTAAGTTTGTCATATATCACAAGGAGTACTAATTAAACCGATGACATCATCAGGATTATCTTGCCTCCAGCTTGTGACTTAAAACCTTAAACATAAAGCCTAGATTACAAAACAGAGGTATGGTTTTCAAACAAACAAACGGGCACCTAGAAGGAAGGAAATGTCTCATTAAAGATGTTATTGAGTTGCATTATGGGAAGTGCAGGATCTAGCATTTTTAGATAGTAACCTATATGAAATCTTAGCCTGTGCTGTACAGATTTTGATAATTATTTTATGAATCTGTCTTATGAGTGTCCTAACTTTATGGAGGTGCAATACTAAACCACTGTTGCACATCTTTAACTCTTCCATTTCTGCAGCTAGATACAAAGTTCGATGATGCTGTGTGATTGCAGAGGAAACTCAGGATGTTTCCCCTGGTTGCGTCAGATTTCATTCACGCTCCTAATAAGCAGCATCACAGGTCTGTTTGGAGGGGGGGAAACAACACTACACTCCCTAACAAAAGTCTTGTCGCCTATCCAAGTTGTAGGAACAACAAATAATAACTTGACTTCTAGTTGATCATTTGGAATCAGAAGTGGTTTATATGAAAGGCAAAGGCCTCTAAATTATGCTTATTTTACCAAAACAAAATCTTATCATTCCTTGATTTTTTAATTATTTAACTAGGACAGAAAGGTCAGACTTTGCTTAGACAAAAGTCTTGTCGCATAACAAAATAATGTACAGTACAGAACATAAAGTCATGGTGCC